TTATATTGCACTGGACTAACGGTGCTTTGGGATTATTTTGGTCTATGCCAGAGTCCTTCTGCATCCTTCCAATGAGACCATGCATCACTTCACTGAACATGCCGTCCCCACCAACACAAACAACACTGCCAGGAAACACAAATTAGAATGCACACTAACAGTCAATAAACAACACGGCAAGTGTTCTACTTAGGGCATGCACTGGGCACATCAAAAAGAGTTGTTCCATTCACCTCCTGGATTTTTACAGAATATAGTAGCCCAGAGTCAACTTTGAAACTAACAAAAAGCAGGAAAAAAAAAACTACACAACTGCAAATGCACGTCTGTAATATTAGAAGAAAATTTTGAAATGCAACTTAAATCTTTATCCTCTATTGCTGTATGCAGACAGACAAATATCAATGGAAATTCACTGTACAAGGAAAACACTGAACAGGAATGCACACACAGCTTTCTACGTAAACAAAATGGAAACGGTATCTTTACTAAGAAGGGAAATGTAAGTTAATATTTGTGGCTTCAGGCAGTATATTTTACGCTACTAATTTAATAGGGATATACATCATATGAAAGCAAAAAGCCAAAAAGCCTGAAAAGTGAATGCTTGCATGCTCTTCTGCACATGCTGGGAGTCCAAACAGACAGAAGTCATGTATATCTACTTAACCATTCATAAGAAAACAGAGTTCTAAATGTTACCAGATGCAAAACTTTGTTTTGCACACCTAATTCAGGTCAGAGCTGGTGCAGCAGCTGCACAGATCCTCAAAATGTTGAAGATCTGAAGAGAGTCCACAGCCAACCAAATAGTAGGAAGTGAAAGACTTTTACAGTTGCATACATTTCATGCCCAATAATCAAATGCATACCCTGAACTCTAAAAGCACCAACATTTAACTGAAAAAACTAATTCAAATACACTTTAAAGGAACACATGACGAATCCAAAGTTACGCATGTAGTCCCCAGCATACAGGCTTAGGAATGTTTACTGTTATCTATAGCAATCACTTCCAATGCATAAACTAATACTTACTCTTTCACATAGTTAACATATATTGCAAAATGAGTACTTACTTCATACGACAGGTTAGTTTATTTCATTTTTAAGTATTGATGACTTAAATTTACTTATTGTATTTTCAGCAGAAGGAAAGCTTGAAAAAACACAGTCATTTTTTCACGAATGGAGAGGACAGTCTTAAAAATATACATTGTCCAACTCTTAAGACCAGATCTCAGAGACTGGGAGAGAAGGGAGAAGAGGATGTTTGTTTTTCATTTAGAATTAATTTCTTATGGCTTAACTACATTATTCCTAAACTTTAGATCATCTCTTCTTTCTCTACAGACTCTAAGAAAAAGGTTAAGCGGACAAAAATGTCCATGTCCGTTCAAGGTCAATGTCGTCACAGTAGTGTTTTATTCATAACAAATACTACATGCACACTCAGAGATGACAATGATATGAATGTCTACACCTATCAAGGGTAAATACTGACAGATAAAGAAGTTCACATACACAACATCAGCATGACCAAATTCATTGCAAACATCAAACGATCAATGTGCGAGCTGTGTGAAGGTCCCTAGTGAAGAACTACTGTAAGAGAGATTTTTGAGTGATTCTTACATTTTGGGTTTATTTTTCTAATGGACTAGCATTTCACTTTTTAGACAGGTAAACTGTCTAATGTCTAAATGTAGTAAACTACATACGCTAAAGGACTTGAGAAGCAAGTTCACAAGACAGAGTTTTAAAAGTCCCTTGTAATCTCAACCATTCTGTGAACCAACTCAAGAATTAGTAAAAAAAAATCAACCTGAAACAGTTTTACAAAGGCTTGTGCAACAGCCATATGGATAAGGAAGCACAGTGATTAATACATGTCAGACTTACTCTAAACATGGTCGTTTCATGCACAGTATTACACCATGGTCTAGCTGTTCTGCACAATGATGTACAAAAACTTGCTATATTGTAACGGAATTAATATTCTAAGTAACTGTCTTCAAACAGAAGCTGTTCTATCACAGAATCATTAAGGTTGGAAAAGACCTCAAGGATCATCAAGTCCAACTGTCAACCCACACCACCTAACTCACTAAACCATGTCCCTAAGCACCACATCTACACATTTCTTGAATACCTCCAGGGATGGTGACTCCACCACTTCCCTGGAGGAAGAGCTATAAGATTAATATGCTCACCGTAAGAAATTCTTCTAAGGGGAAATGGGAAGAACAGGAAACATGAATAAGAGCTTGAAATAAGCTGTCTCAAGCAAACACACTTGGAAAGCAGTGAAGCAGTTATCATTAAGTATCCTGTAGCTAGTTCCAAAATTACAAGGATGGCTTTGCCAAATAGGGAATATGGAGATTAAATGAAGAATCTCATGACTGAATGAACAGAAAGCCACCTCTATGAGAGTCAATCTAAGAGGACAGGTGAACAACTAGATGTAGGAATCCAAAGATGCTTTTCCTGTATGTGAGAAGAGTCAACCAAACTTGAAGAAACATATGTATTTACGTGGTTCAACCATTTAAAAATCTTCCATATAACCATGTGATCTGTTCTTTTAGAAGTACTATTAATACAAGAACACCTTCCTAACATCACTGTTCACCACAGGAACAGACCTGTACACGATGGAGAAAAATCAGGCTTAGAAAGACAGGTTGTAGTTCCCAAGCTAACTGCCTTTAAGGCCCAGCCCAGGAACAGAAGAATCACAAGATTCTCAAAAGATGCAGTTCTCTGACCAATTGTTTAGCTCAGTCATGTTAGAGAGACAAAACAAAAAAAAAAACACCAAAAAAAGAAAAAAAATTACAATAACTGTTAGAATCTGCCAAAAACCCTTCAGGTACCACTACAATCGGTCACTGACACTTGTTGCAAAAAAACCCAATTTGCTCAGAGTGGACATGGGCTCACTTGCTTCCTTTTTCTGCTCTGTATTGGAATTTTACCAAATGTCAGTATTATCCATTTCAGACCACTTAAGTCAAATTAAAAGGAAAATTCTTAACTAACTAGGTTTTCCTAGGATTCCAGTTTCCCTTCCTCGCTGAAGTCTGAAACTCAACCTGTGAATGTAGTTTCTAACTGTCACGACTCGTCAACATCATGTCCTCACTTGATTTATACAATGCACATCGATCTGCTACCCCAGCAAAAGGATTCTGAAAAGACAAAGTGTTTTATTTCTGCAACTTACCAGTTTAAATGTACCTGTCAAAAAGCACAACAGGATACTATTTTTAAAATACTGTAGATATGAGAGATTATCTGTGTAGGTTCTGCATACATTTTAATGATTTTCCAGTCATGTAACTTGTTCCATGTCATGAACCAGAAACTGGAATGACTATCTTATTTATTAAAATATTCTGCTTCTACAGCAGATTTAATAATGGAATGCGATTTCACCATTCAGTTAGGTCTTCTTTTAAATCAGTAATTCCACATAAGAACAAACACAAATAAAGCCAAATAATGTAGCCACTATTTGAACAGCCCTACATACTTCCTCTTGCTATCTGAAACGTTTCTAAATGGTTCATGGTTCTCACACACAGGCTGAATGCTACTGATGTGGTGTTCTGGACTCCTGCATTTGTCAAGATCACCTGTACTGCAAACCAGAACAGCTTTCAAGCTATCACAGAATGCTCAACTTCTGGACGAGCAGAAGTAATCTCACATCCATCTTTCGAACACAAATCTCATGCAAACATTGTCATACTACACTAGAATATATTTTGTGTTGAACAGATTTACTGAAACCAGTTTAATTTTTGTTTTATACTCCTAAATGTAGATCTATAGAAAGGAACACACCCCAGAACCTTCATCTGTTCCAATAAATGTATCAGCAATGAAGGCTACCATTTTAGAAAAAAGAACAAACAGATTACTGGATATATCAGTTGGAAAAGAAAAAAAAGTGAAGTTACTTACCCATCATATTTACTAATATTAACTTCAAATAAATTGTCCTTAGCATGGTTAGCATGTTCAGTTACTATGAATAAATAAACACATTAAAAATTACTATTACAAAATGGTATATAATATACAATTATAAAAGAAATATTATTATTTCATTAATAACCATGATAATATTACCAATGTGACTGTAAAACAGCCTGCCCATAAAATATGTTTCAAAAGATTTTATGCCAAGGAAATGACTGAAAGAGACATTCACTGCAGTATATACAGAAAAATATATTACTAAAAAATCGTGCAAATGGGCAATTGGTTTTAACAGTAAAACTGAAAAAGAGGAGATAGTATCTTATAAACAAAGAGCTCAGATAGCTCAAGTTTTAATTTAGTAGGCAGAAAATTGATATAAGGTCATCATCTATCTGGCTACCTATGCCTGAATTATAAAACATTCCTCCTCTACCTCTTAGTTTCCTTAATAAGAAATAGTAACTGACAGAAAGAACTTAAGCTACTCAGAGATGTTCTAAAGAGTTCACATTGTGTTTATTAAGAAATTAAAATATTCATTACTCACTAACAACATCAGTGGAGATAGAAGCCAGACTGAAGAGTGGAGCAACTTTCTGTTCATAAATCCTTTTCCCTTGTCTTTTTCCTCCATATGGATTAATATACACAAGCAATTGCTTTGGTCTAGACTCTGCATTAAGGAAAAATATAGTACAGTCCTTTTGTACACAAAACAAAAATTCAACAAGCTATAAAAAAATAAACCTGTAAACATCAAAGTGAACACAGCATACAAACCTTTTCCAACTCTATACTAACTCTTATAACTGTAATTCTTTATCAAAGAGCTAAAAAAACTGCTTCATCTATCCTCTTTATTATGCTGAGGATACTGACAGTATTGAACAAATTGGTAATAAGACAGCAGGTGGAATTGAGAATAATTTCATCTGACTCCACATCTCACATTCTTATGCATATTAATCTCACAGTACCTTCCCATTAAATAATGTTAGTATCACAGGCGCATAAGACAAAAAAACAAACGAAGGGCAGCACTAGGAAAGGCACTTGTAAGTGAAGCATACACAGAAATTCTGTTTAAATTAATTAATTTAAACAATGTTCTTGCTTTGGTAACAGAGTTAAAATGCATTTCCTTTCAGTGATAAAGACACAATAAGAATACCTCACTTGCTGCACAGCAAGTGCTTGCCCTATAGTATAACTCTTTCC